ATCTTTTTCTGGTGGTTTAGTGGCTGGATTGAGCTAACAATGAGCTATGGGCTGGAAGTCTCTTGGTTTACAGTCAACCAGCACCTGGTGGGTGTGCATTGTATTTAAAAGGCTTTAATTGATTTGGGGATGAACATTTTTCTAAGTGGGACAGCAGTAGTCTATATGCTGTCCTGAAGTAACTTGGGGTTGCTGATTCAGGCTTGGAAACAGGAGTGGCACCTACTTCCTCTTCCTCTTCCACATGCCCCTAGAAACTCTATGAACATAGAGAAATTATGATAATTACAGAGCAAGGTTCAGGTCTTTTGTTCATACGATCACTATGAATTGTACTCAACTCGACAGCACTTAACAATAACAGCAACAGTGGTCAGAAGCTGTTCTGCAATCCCAAAGGCATGCAGTTCAAATGCCCTAGCTTCTCCATGGGAGAAGGATGGGCAGTCTTCTCTTATGCTATTTACTGCCTCTGAAAACCTGTTGGAGGATCAGTTATGGGTTGGTTCTCAACTGTACACTGCACACAGCAAAACACATCTGTGTGTCTGTGTGTGTGTGTGTCTGCGTCTGTGTGTGTGTGTGTGTGTGTGTGTGTGTGTGTGTGTGTGTTAACAATTACAGCTTGCTCAAGTCCACAATCAACACTCTTGGCACCAGGAGTCAGAAAATTAAAAGACAAATTACTTTGGGAAAATCTGCTGTCAGAGACTTTTCCAGAGTGCTGGAAAGCAATGATGTCAGTTTAGAGACTACAGTGCACCTAATCCAAGCCATGGTCTTTGCAATTACTTGCTATGCATCAGAGAGCTGGAAAAGACTAAGGATGACAGAAGAATCAATGCCTCCAAATTGTGACGCTGGAGAAGTGTTTTTTGGTTGTTGTTTTTTTCACGTCAGATGTGTAGCGTGCCTATGTAGTAACAAGGTTTAAATGGTGGCACATGTCATACAGAAGTATGAACACTCAATCATCAAGCTTATGAACTGGCAAAGAATCTGGAGAAGAGTCTTGAACATACCATGGACCGCCAAGAAAACAAATAGGTCTGTCTTAGAGAGGGTGAAACCAAGTTTCTCCTTGGAGGCAAGGATTTTGAAACTATGTCTCACATACTTTGGGCACGTGGCCAGGAAGGATCAGTCCTTGGAGAAGGACATCATACTTGGAAAAGTGGAGGGACAGCATAGGAAGAGAAGAAGAACCTGGATGAGATGGACTGATACAGTAACTGGAGCAATGGGGGTTAGTTTGTTGGAATTAGTGAGACTGGCTTAGGACAGGGCAGGGTTCAAACTGCTATAAATAAGATCACTATGGGTCACAGGTAACTCGGCAGCACATAACAAACACACACCACACACACATACACACACACACACACGCGCGCGCGCGTGCGCACGCAGAGGTGGCCTAATGTTAAGAACCTACACTGCAATCTTGAAGGCACATGGTTCAAATCCACCAGCTGCTCCACAGCAGTAGGATGGACAGTCTCCTCCCATGAGACTAACTGTCTTTGAAAACCTGCCAAAAGGTCAGCTATGGGTCAGTTCCTACTCAATGGTACACAATAACAAATAGATAGATTTTCAGAGGCCTTTAATCTCACAGAAGGAGACTGCCCATCTTTCTCCCAAGGAGCAGCTGGTGGCCTTGAACCACATGCCTTTGAGATTGCAATGCTGCTTCCTGCCTCTAGGCTACCAGAGCTCCATATAGATAGATAGATCTATATCTATCTATCTATCTATCTATCTATCTATCTATCTATCATCTATATATATATTAGATATATACACACATATATATTGTCTAACTATATCTATCTGTCTAACTATATCTATCAATCTATCTCTATTTATATAAGAGATAAAGACAGAGTATCTCCTTTCATGCAATTTACAGTCTCAGAAACCCAATACTCACTACCAGTGATAGATATGAACTCTAGGAGTCAGAACCAATTCTTTGATGGTGGGGATTTTTAAAATTTTTATAGGAACCCTTATCACACAGCAGTTAAAGCATTGATATAATAACCAAAAAATCAGCAGTTCAAACCGACCAGTCACCTCCCAAAAGGAAGATGTGGCAGTTAGTTGCCTCCATAAAGATTCACAGCCTTGGAAACCCTGTGAGGGAAGTTTTACTCCACCCAATAGGGTTGTTAGGAGTTGGAATTGACTGGACAGTAACAGATTTTATTGTTATTATTACAGCCTAGGCAAGTTGACACATAGACTATAGCAGATGGCACCAAGAGAATGACATTGAACCCTCAGACTCATTACCAAGGGATATTTCAGATCAGAGCCTCTTTATGGGTCAACTCAACTCATTGTCATTTAGGGAACCAGCCCATAGCTGACCCTCGAGTGGATTTTCAGAGGCTGTAAATCACATGGAAGGAGACTGTCCATCTTCCTCCTGTGTAGCAGATGATAGATTTGAACTATCTGCTTTGGGTTGGCAGCACAACTTCCTCCCTACTAGGTAGGCCACCTGAGCTCCACGTAAGGTTGCAAACGTCTGCTCATAGCTTCTGCTGAGAATGTTTCTAGCAGCCACTTTGTTCAGACAGCAGGGGGAACCCTTCACTTAACTTTCAGCCACCTTCATCATCAAGGCAAGCTTTGGATCAGAAACTGGGAATGTAATAGGAAGAGATTGTGTAAGGGAAAACCATCTGTCTCCTGCTTTGGCTTCAGGTGTCACAAGCAGTAACCTTGTTCAGACAGCATTGTGAACTCTTCCCATAACTCACATAACTTTCAACTCCTCCTAGCTCCAAGAAGCCAGGAGGGATCTTCTCAAGTCTGTGTAGAGAGGGCAGTGGGGAAGATTCCAAGCCCAGCTGCTACCTCTCAGGGGCCCAACGAGCAAATGCACCAGATAGGGCTGCTTCTGTTGACCATCTCTGGTGCATCACTGAAAAGAAATGTCAGAGTCAGGTCATATTTCCCCAATTTTATAGGGGAACTAAGATCCAAAGAGGAGAAGGGAACTGCCTAGAATCAGTTAAATCTCAAAGTTATTCCAGGAAATGTATAACTTGGTCCTTTGCATATAAAATAGTTAGAATAATGATAAAATGCTAAGTTACAATCATCTATAAATATAAGTATTGTAACAGTAAGGGGTTTGAGCCCTTAAATGTCTTAATGGCATAAACATTATTTTTCCTTCTGCCAAGGAAGCTCCACATAGCAAGCCTCCTGCTGAGATCTCTTTTATCCTATTTTGCCTTTAAATTGAGCACAAGACCATGTTCATCTCTGTTGTCTAGCAAAATAGCCTAGTGCAGGAAATCTGGCCCCTGGGATCAGACAGAAATGGGGTTAATCTCAGAATTTCTACCAAGTTGTTTGTTTTTGTTTTATTTTAAGTATATCATTTGTCTGAAGTAGGAGTGGCATCCACTTCCTAGATAGCATGCCTCAGGAAACTCTATGAACTTTGATAAATGTTTGATAGCCGTAGAAAGGCTTCAGATCTTTTGTTCATAGGATCGCTATAAATCAGGCTTGACTCAAAGACAATCAACAACAACAGATTATTTGTCTCAAAGACAATCAACAACAACAGATTATTTGTCTAGACATCCAAAGTAACTCACTCTCTAGTTGATTATTCTGAGAATTTTATTACTGATAACATTTAAAGGAATTCACACTAGTAACTGTAGACACTTGAAGGACAGTGATAACTCCTGTCAATAAAACCATTCTGACTACTACTGCTTGGCTCAGTGACATGAAACAGTTTGCTCACCCTCTCTGGTACTGTTTCTTTCCATCTGTAAAATGGGCTTAATGACTCCTTAATGAAGTTGCTGTGAAGACTGAGGGAACTGAAGTGGGCAAAGTGGCAAGTATGGCCCCTAGCACAATGTAGCAACTCAGCTCATATTCTTTTCCTTCTCTGACTTCTAAGATCTTCTCTCAGAGCTCAAGTATAACTAATCAATTAAAAAAGATTCTAAAGTGGTTGATTGTTTGTTGTTGTTGTTGTTATGTGCTGTTAGCGTGTCACACCTGTTCGCTCCTGGAATGATGTCTATCGGCACACTTCTCCGTGTGTGGGTTTATTCTAAGACAAATTCTCATATTCTAGTTATGAATGAACCTCAGCGTGCACTGGGACAACTTTTGTTGTTATGTGCCATTGAGTCGTTTGCGACTCATAGCGAACCTATGTACAAACAGCCCTAAACCCTGCTCTATCTTATGCCAATCGCACTGCCTCTGACACACCCATCTCGATTACCTCAGTCACTGAATCAATCCACCTCATAGAGGGTCTTCCCCTCCTGCACTGTCCCTCTACCCTACCAAGCATGATGTCCCTCTCCAAGGACTGGGCTCTCCTTACAACTGTCCAAAGTATGTCAGACGGAGCCCCAGAATCCTTGACTCCAAGGAGTAGTCTGATTTAACCCTCTCCAGGATGGATCTGTTTTCTTGGCAGTCCATGGAACATTCAATACTCTTCTACAGCACCACAGCTCAAAGGTGTCAATTCTCCTTCTATCCTCCCTAGTCATTGTCCAACTCTCTGATGCATAACAAGTGATTGCAAAGACCATGGACTGTATCAGATGCACCTTAGTCTCCAGAGACACACCATTGCTCTTGAGTACTTTAGAGGGGTCCCTAACAGCAGACTTTCCCATCACAATACGTTTTTTTTATTTCCTGTCTGCTGGTGCCAAGAGTGTTGACCATGGAGACGAGCAAACTGAAGCTGCGAACAATCTCAATCTCTTCGCCATCCATCCTGATGCTACCGATGATGGCAATAAAAAAAAAAAAAGAAAAGAAATAAAGAAGTTTTCCTGTTGTCCCCAAAATGAGGATAACCATTTATTTTTTATTTATTATATTATAATTATTTATTATAAAATAATAATTATCAAAAAAGCATGGAAAAAGATCTGGTATCTTCAGTTAATTCCTTAAGCATCAATGAAATTCATTATGTAACTCCTTATTTTTAGGAAAGTACTCAGAGGACATCTTGCGTATCCTGAAAACAATTCCATTCAAGAAATCATGGGCCTACCTCCAAGGTCAGTAACTGAATTCATGGATTTCTAACCATATTAGTCCCACTTCTTGTGGTCTTCCCACAACTCCTAACCCAGGGCGTCACAAGCAGAGACCCACAGTTAAATGTGACTTATAGATGTATTCTGTTCAGCTTGCATGAAACACCTATCATACCTAAAGGGTATGACATTATCGCTCTCCAAAGCTACAAGGCTCCTCCTTCCTCGGCCCCACTCACTCGTTTATGTTGCCCATCTTGTGTTTGTTGGCATTGTTGTCCCAGGTGATCAGTACCAACACCAGCAGCACCACCCCTCTCTAGGCAGCCCCTGCAAGTTAGAGTCAAGTGCACAGTGCTTTTCCTAATGTAAGGGTGGTGGAGTCTAAGCCACTGCCTCTGTGAGGTTATTCACAAAGGAACCACAAAATTGCATTGTCCCCCAGCTCCACAGCTTAATGAACACCTATTAGTCACCTATTTGCTTATCGCAGCATGTTTCAGGTAAGAGCTCCCTTATAAATAGAACCAAAAGAGGAAAGAATGAGATATGGAGAAGATGGCCAACAGTCTCTGAATAGCCATTACGTTCATTCTAAAAATTCAGTTTTTCAGTCAGATTAGCTCATGCTTTTCAAGTGAATTGTATCAAAACTTACAGGGAAAGCACAGATCCAATTAAAACTAATGCATCGGCCTCTTAGTGTTGAAAGGATCCTTACCAGTGAGTGCCGATCATTACTTATTATGATATGAGTCAGGGAGACTTGGTTTCTCACATGAACATGACTTAGAGGGTTTGCTAATTCTCTGCTTTTATGTAAATATCAGATGGCAAAAGCATATATTGTGCATGTGAAGGACATACCTAACCATGTTTAGCTATACCTTTAAATAAAGACATTAAAATTCAGACAATATCCTCAAAAAATGTGGGGAAAAAATACAACTACTAAACAACCTAGCAGTTCCACTCTAGACATAAAACCTGAAAGTTGTTGTTGTTGTTGTTATGTGCCATCGAGTCGTTTCCGACTCATAGCGACCCTATGCACAACAGCTCTAAACCCTGCTCTATCCTGCGCCAACCACACTGCCTCTGACACACCCATCCCGATTACCCCAGTCACTGAATCAATCCATCTCATAGAGGGTCTTCCCCTCCTGCGCTGTCCCTCCACCCTCCCAAGCATGATGTCCCTCTCCAAGGACCCGTCCCTCCTGGCAACATGTCCAAAGTATGTCAGACGAAGCCCCAGAATCCTTGCCTCCAAGGAGCAGCTTGGTTTAATCCTCTCCAAGATGAATCTGTTTGTTTTCCTGGCAGTCCATGATACATTCAGTACCCTTCTCCTGAAAGTAGATACTCAAAAAAGAGACATGTATACCAATGTTCCTTGCAGCAATATTCTCAATAGCCTAAAGGTGAAAACAGCCTAAAAGTCCGTCAGAGGATGAATGGATAAACAAAATATGGTGCATTCATACAACACAATAGACAATAGTATTTAGTCTGTATGGATGCAGCTTGAAGACATTGTGCTGGGGCAGGTGGAGAGGCGGGAATCAACAACAACAACAAAAAATACTATAGGGCTTCCATTATATAAAATTATAAGAAAAACCAAAGGTATAGCAGTAAAGACAAGAGAGGGTGAAGGTTTATTAGTAGTTAACAGGTCCGGAGGAAAAGGAAAGAGCAGATGGAAAGAGTGATGGAAAAAAATCACATTGATTATGGATAGCTTTCCCTGGTTTGTTATTCTAATTGCTGTCACTAAATTGGACATTTGTCAAAAATTGAATTAGTATAAGTTATGTAATAGACATATTTACAACAGCAGCAAAGAGCAGCTGCTAAACCAGCTTATGTTCAACCAAACACCTCATGGGATTTGGTTCCTTGGTTTGGAGGTTGGAGGTTCAAAGTTTCACAGGATCTCCCAGCTAGTGGCCTAATAACACGTTTGGTGCTTCTATTATACTTTCTAGATTGCTGGGTGGGTTAAGAGCATGCAAGTGACCATCACACAGACAAATGCACAGCACTTGGTCTCTATTTACCAGTACCAAGAGAGAAAGGAGTATCAGGACTAGGATACGAAATATGTGATTAATATGCATCAAACAACTGCTTCATGTGTCACAATACCAGAAGAAGATGGTGCCCACCCTCCAAAAATGAAAATTTCAATCAAACATTCCATAGAATAATTTTTATCAAAAAGGAGAAAAGCAAAATAGAATTTCAAATTCTCATGGAGTATAGACTTTGCAGAACCACAAAAGTTAGAGAACTCTTGAGATTGTTACTCTGAGATAATCTTAAAATCTTAAACCAAAAATATTCCCTCAAGTCATCCTAAAACCCAACAGTAGTTTAACCTGACCTAGTCCATAGGGAACGGCACAGGGAACCCAGATACCAGACCTTCCTGGTGGTTTGACTCTCCCTACTGTTCAGACGGAAAAAGATGGACAGTCTCCCCTTGAGCAATTTACAGCCTCTGAAAATCTATTGGAGTGTCAGCTCTGAGTAGGGTCCAACACAATGGCAATGAGTTTTAGGTTTGAGAGTGAAAAGCAGGTCAGCCTAGAGCATAGTGCTCTTTTAAGTACTATCTATATGGTATCAAATTGAAAATAGTAACTGAAAGACTCAAGAAATTTAAAGAGCAATTAATTTACGCTAATGAGGGAGGAATAACTCAGAAAAGAAGGTGAGAATAGTTGCACAACTCAAAGAAGGTAATCAACGTCACTAAACTGTACATTGTCTTTGCTGTTATTTGTCATCAAGTCAGGACTGACTCATAGATCACACTTCAGTGGGTTTTCAGAAGCAGTAGATGGCATGGGAATTGATTACTCATCTTCCTCAGCAGAGTAGCTGGTGGGTTTGAACAGCATGCCTTAGGATTGACAGTGCAATTCCTTACTACTGGGCCACCAGCCTGAAAACTAGTTAATTGATGTGTGTTTTGCTGTATATATTCTCAACGATTAAAAAATGTAAGAAAACATCAATGCATCAGTAGGTTTTCATTTTTGCTGTTGTTGTTGCTTGCTGTCAAGTCTGAACTAACTCATAGATGACCTCCAGAAGGTTTTCAGAGGCAGTAAATCACATGAGAGGAGACTTCCCATCCTTCTCCTGTGGGACAGCAGGTGGATTTTAACCATGTGCCTTTGGGATTGTAACAGATTCTCATATTAAAAAAATAGGTAAAGGATATATCCTACTGTGGAAGTTAACAGATTGAGATGTTCCTGAACCTCTCAATGCCTCACCTTTTTAGTAACTGGAAAGTATTAAGAGTTTCTAGTTCTGGTGCTCTGTTCAGTGTCATTCAAATATTAAGTTCCCTATCAAATGTTCATTAATAGATTGTATCAATGAACAAAATAGCTCATATCTTGTGAGTAATATAGACCAAGGACTTATATTCTAAAAAAAGGAAAGAAGAATACCATAACAATTATTAAAGGGAAAAAATTTTATTTTAGTTGGAATAGCTATAATACCGATGATGTTCTAAAACTTTAGCACTGAGATTAAAGGGGTGGGGGGTATTACATAGATAGCGACTGGAGAAAGTAACATGGAAACGATTCTAGATAGTTAACAAAAGCAAGTAATGCTATAAAAACCATGGGCCTGGGATGGGAAACCATGAACAAAACAACTTTTCAACCTCTATCTGAAACTTTGTCAATAATTCTGGTCTTTTTTTATGTTTCTCTTCTCAGTGTCGAAGCATTTAAACCAATCCATATTGTCTTGGAATTCAGATGGAATCATTGATGGAATCAAATACGAACAGGGGCATCTGGTGATCCAGTCCCCAGGTCTGTACTTTATCATTTGTCAACTGCAATTTCTTGTGACTCGATGCCCCAAAACTTCTCTAGACCTGAAGCTGGAGCTTCTCATCAATGAGGTCCCCAAAAAGCAGGCACTGGTGACAGTGTGCAAGACTGGCGTGGAAAGCACAGAAATATACCAAAATCTCTCACAATTCTTGCTGGAGCACCTTCAGGTCAACTCCACCATCTCAGTCAGGGTGGAAAAGTTCGAGTTTGTGGATACAAACACTTTCCCTCTAGATAACGTGTTGTCCATATTTTTGTATAATAATTCAGACTGAGTACTTTTCCCTGACCTTCAGGATGAAAGAAGCTCTCCATCATCCAAACTCTTCATTCATTTAAACACTTGGACAAAGAAAGAAATTTTAGACCAAGACTAAAGCCATAAAGAGTATTAAATAGTCGTCTTCTCCCTCTTTCTCTTGGGAAAATACAGCTCCAGGGAAAAGGCAGGGAAATGATGTTTCCTGGTGAACAGAGCCCCACATGGGAACCGGAAGGGATGATACTAGCTCTATCACTAACATGCTGTAGGATCTTGAGCCATTCTTTCACCTTCCTGGAACTCACAATTCATGTCTGGAAAATGAGGGGACTCAATCTGATCTTCTTCAAGCTCTCTTCCATCTCGGGAAATCAAGCTTTCTCACGACAGACCTGTGAGTCAAGATACTCCAGTTTTATGGAAGCCCCCAACCAAAAGAAGACGCTTACACCTCTACAAAATTGATAGTACAAGGAGCCTGGCTGCAGCTGACTTCAGTGAAATCAGAAGGTGGAGACAAAGTTCAGGGTGCCTTGCAGGACTGTGAAAATTGCACAAGCCAAAAATAAATAACAAAAATGGTCAAACTGACCATCTCCAGCTCTAAAAGACTCTCTGAGTATGTGGAAAACCATTCACGGAAGCCTTATTTCATTCCAGCTCATAATGACAAGAAGTTGACAGCAGAATAGTGTATGTCTGTCCTGTTCTGAAAGGGCTATGAATTCAACAAACAATCTATGCACAATGGCCAAGACAATGAGTCCTTTAGACAGGGAATAGCAGCTGTCATCATTCACATGATCTATTGTCATTCCCTGCTTCAAATAACTTTCAGAAAACCCTGTTTCGTCAAGAACTCCTAAGTCTCTACACAGCTGGAAATGATGAGGAGAACTTCCAAGCAATGGAAACCTCCTCACCAGGCTTTGGTATGTATAGGACTTCTATAGTTATAGCAACTTTTCTATTTCTTCATCATCTTTGAAGAAGCACCTTACTTGATATCAAAGACTCTGACAAGCCATTGAAGTTGGCATGGCAGTTCCTATGGTTCTATTTCAGTAGGAAAAAGACTGTTGTTTAACTGCTATGCAAAAGAATGAAATGCAATGTGCATTTTTTTAAATTTCCTCATGAAGGAGAGGATAACAGAAAAAACAAAAGGAGTAGGAACCTAAGCAAATTTGTCTTAGATAATATTTAAGGGAAAGAAAGACCTAGCAGTGGTGGTACAGATAGTGTGGACTGGGGAGAATACAAAGTCCAAGAGAAACATTTAAGTCATTTGCTGAGCAGCGTGTATTGCTAACCACCTTCTAGCTTTCCTTGGTGAAACAGTCAAATCTGCATTATAATGATGTGTGTGAGGAGATTCTCTGGCAGAAGCTTACATCTGAAGAGGTGTTGACATAGCAAGCCAAGTGTGGGCTGTTTGTTTGTTTTTTTAAATGTGTTATGTGGAGTTACTAAAAAGTAAAACATTTGACGGATTTTTGAGAACCCTGAAACTAGTTAAGGAGAACATCTAGTATTTGAGTTATACTGCAGCTATATAGGAAAAGAAAACTTGTTTAAGCTAATGCATGTACTCTGAAAAATGTAAGTTTGTGTAATCAAAAGCAAATTTTCTACCATTTTAGAATATAATTCTCCTTTTCACCAAGCTTCCTTTGAGAGATGGTACCTGACCTCCCCAGCCCCTTATTCATGACCCTCAAAAGACTCTTCACCCACCTTCTCCTATTTACTCACTCATTCACGCACTCACTCATCTCCTTGCCTTTTCATTACCAGCCATAGATTTGGAATTACATGCTTCCAGGTTCCAATTTTCACTTCCCTATTTAGGATAACAAGGATTCTTTCTAAGCTACAGGTGTTGTGGGGTGTTTGTTTTGTTTTGTTTTTTGTTTTACTGATTTGCTTCTTTTGCACTGCGACCAAAGCCACTGCCATGGAGTCAATTCTCACTCGTGAGAAACCCTGAATTAGGTTTCCAAGCCTATAAATCTTAATGTGGGCATACTGCTTCCTCCTCACACAGAATGGCTGATGGGTTATCATCACCAACTTTTCGCTCATTTCAGTCTCTGTCAAACAAAGCTCCAAATGTCAAAGACATAGAGGGTCAAGGTATTTAAAGGGATCCTGTAGTAAAAAAAGTATCATTACTAACTCAGGTGATAAGTACCTACAGGGTAGATAACCCAGAAAGATAAATAGTAAATTCTGTCATTCACTGGTGAACCAGCCACTGGAAATGTTATGAGTAAATAACACTGTTTTTGTAAGGAAAATCAATACTTTTTATATCTAGGAACCTAGGCTACTTGAGACCTCTTTGATAAAAGCACAAAATTAATATAGAATCTGTAGAAAGGGAGATGTGTGAGATAAGAAAATAATACCAAATCAATGTATGCTAAAAATGCCTTTGGAAACTGTAATACCGCTTCCTTCCTTCACATTTAGTAAGTTTGCTTCACGTGGTCTCCCCACTACTCACTGATATTTCCTGTATCCACGAGTCACGAAAAAGTGATGTTAGTCTGTGTCTTCTCTGGAAAGATCCTTAGAAAGTACTTTAGTTTTAAATATTTCACATTCTTACTAAGAATTGGAAAACAATTTTGGCAATTTCTTAAAAAGTCTAACATACACCTTCCATTTGGCCCAGCCATTCGGCCCAGCCATTCTACCCTTAGGCATTTACTCAAAAGTAGTTAACATATATGTTCACATAAAAACTGTATACAAAAAAAAAAATTGAAAAACAAACAGAAAAAAACACTGTACACAAAAATGTTTACAACAGCTTTTTTTGAAGGCGCTTATAATTAAAAAGTAAAATATATAATGCAGTGGATGGACAAATTGTGAAATAGCCATACAACAGAATATTCCTCAATAATAAAAAAAGGGGAAAAGTTAACATAAATGTCAAAATAATTATGTTAAATGAAAAAGAGTAAACGCTGAGTAAAAATTAATTTATTTTCTTTAAAAAAATCTAAAACATACAAAAAACTCTAAGAAATGCAAACTCTTTTATAGTGACAGGAAGTAGATAAATAATTGCATGAGATGTGATGTCTAGGGAACAGAATGAGGACAGAAGGGTTACAAAGTGGCATGGAAAAAATTTTTTGGAGTAATGGACACTTTCACCACCTTGCTTGTGTAAGGTGATAATTTCATGGATGTATACGTATGTCAGAATTTATCAAACTTTACACTGTAAATGTGTGTAGTTTATGGCATGTCAATTATAACTCAATAAAGTTACTTTTAAAAAAAGAAAGAGAGAAATTACCATGAGTGTTTGAATGAAGTCCTAGTAACTTGTCTAAGTCCATACTTATAGTAGCCCCAATACCTAACACCTCCTCACTCTTCCCCACCATGCTCTATTTGTATTCTCCTGCAGTCTTTCTGTAATTCCCCTCAGCAGGTCTACAGAGACAGCACACAATACTCAAGAATTTACTCCTCCCTCCCCTCATCCAACTTCAATACCACACACATTCAATACCACACAGTATGTAAGTAATCAAATCAGAGGAAGGGGCATTAAAGCCCTACTATTTAAAAATCTGTTTCTCAAAAAATAAAGAAATCTATGATAAACCCATTGTTTGTTCCAGAAGAGAATTAAAGTTTTGCCATCTAATTTTTTATTATGAACATCTATGTGTATAGATATATATGTGTATATTTGATTAGGTATTATGCATATGTGTATAGATGTATGTGTATATACTTTCTTCTAGTAATTGTTTTGGAGTACATCTGCTTAACCTGGGTCGGGTGAGCCTTTTGCTCTAGTTCTGACAAACTTTATATATGCTCATATTTATTTTTAATTATGAAGAGGAAATATTATTCCATGCTATACTAGCTTATTTAACAATTGTTTTGTTTTGCTGTGTTTGCTTCTATTTCTTTCTAAAAATAAAATAATACAGATAGAGCTAGAATATCATCCTCCATCCCTTTCCCTATTCTTGCCTCAGAGGTAATCATGCCCTGAATTTTGTATGTTTACTTGCATAATTTTGTACTGGTTCCCCTATAAGAATGTAGATACAATTCTGTGTAGTTTTAAAAAATATAACAATAAATAATATTATACTTATCAAACACTTTGTGATCTAGTTTTTTTTCCACTTAATGCTAATTTTTATATTTGTTCAGATTAACACAAGTAGATCTTGTTCATTTCATTTCTATACAATGCTGATTGTATTGTTTGAATAAACAACATAGTCCTGTTGATAAACATTCAATTTGCCTCCAGACTTTTTCCTACAGTCCTCAGTCCTCACCTTACAACTGAGAAAATAATTTCTATGACTACATGAATTGATTTTATGGTATTCTAATGAGTCACAAACCACAGCTTATAAAAAACACTGCTCTAGTAATTTCTCCGCAGCAACTCTGCAATGCAACAGTTCAGTCCAAAATGGATAAGCGTTGAGTAGCAAGCACAAATGTGGAGGCTCTCCTTAGTGTTTCTTCAGCTGCACTGCAAAGGTTCCAGTGTTCGGATACTAGCTTGGAGGTTGTAGCAGAACTGGGATGGGGGATGGTCTATAACACAGGCACATTCATTCCAGAACTAGCAGCAGTAGCAGCTTCCGGATTGCAGGGGTTTCCTGTTCACAACAGAGGTGCAGTGTTCTAGAGAGGGCAGCTCTCTCTGCAAGAGCCCTGAGGAAAAGGAAGTTATCATGGCAGCTTTTGAGGTTGTTCCTGAATGCCAGTGAAAGCTCAGTCTGAGTTCTATTCCCTCAATCCTCTAGACAATTGAATAACCCACTAGTATCCTGATACACATCCTTCTTTGTTAAGCAAGCTAAGGTGAATTCCACTGTCTGATGGGTACACACCATCAGCACGTGTAAAATTGAATTCAAGATACTCAAGTCTTGAACTTACCACTGTTCCTATGTCCCAGATAGCAAGAACTTCCTCAGTCTCTCCTGACCTTTCTTTTCCTTTCCACTA